CTGACATCTCTTGGAACAAATAAGGTTGGATTTCCTGCAGCTATTTTGAAGTAAGTAGTCTTAACGTTCTTGATTTGCATGGAAATTTCTGTGTTACTGTGGATATCAACACAGTAAAATCTGTTTCGCATATTTTACTTTTTGACAGTGCTCTGTTTTTTTTTTTAATTATTTTTATTTTTAAAATTTTTCCCAAAAGCTTGTTTTGGGGAGTCTTGATCTGGAAAAGGAAAGCAGAAGAAGCTCTGCTTGCCAGTGGACTTCCATATACCGTAAGATCTTCTGGAATACATGTACAGAATACCTCAACTAGATTTTGCTTGCTTCTCCTTGCATATTTCTTATTTCAGATAGTTCGACCAGGAGGGATGGAGCGGCCTACTGATGCTTTCAAGGAAACTCACAATATAACTGTTTCACAGGAAGACACTTTATTTGGTGGTCTAGTGTCAAATCTTCAGGTTATCTTCTTATCTTGTTAGAGGCTTCCTGCTTGAGATACCTGCTTCCACTTGGTGGAGACCACCTTGTTCCCAGACAAAAGCAAACAACTAATTTGTATTGGTAACAAAGATACATGTGACCAAGGCTGTGCCGTGTAGTCTAAATTAGTGCAAAGGTGCTATTGCATTGGAGATCCTAGTGTAACTAACCAAGTTTTTTGTGCTTCAGTTATATTAATACACTAATGCGGATAGCCCTACCTAGCCCAGATATTAAGAAGCCACAACTACCTTCTTTTGAACTGAGATATAATATGTCTCATGAGGGGTCTTTGTCTTCTCAAAATTGCTGGACTTAGTTATACTGTCTTAAGTTGCAAATTATATGAACTTACTTAATGATACTTTGTTTCCTGATCAATAGTCAGTTGTACTAGTAGAAACTCAAGATTTTGTGCTTTTGAACCAAAATAACATCAACTTATACTGTCAGGTGGCTGAACTTATGGCTTTTATGGCAAAGAACCGCAGCCTTTCATACTGCAAGGTGGTGGAAGTAATTGCAGAAACTACAGCTCCATTGACTCCCATGGGGGAGCTCCTTGCAAAAATTCCATCCCAACGTGCTGAAGTGTTCTCGCCAGGGGTAACATTATTTATTTCTTGCTGAAGATTTGGCAGTAGCTGCTGCATAACAATCATCATACATAAAAAGGCAAAAAACTTGTATGGCCATTAAATTATTTGCATCACCTACTGTTTGGCCACTAGACTATTTTCATTTTCAAATCGGCAGCTCAACTTCTAATATGGTACATTAGTGATTCCATCCAATGTTGGGGTTAAATCAAATGGCAATGACTTTCACGCATAGGTCATCTGATGTGCCTGATAGAGTTAACCACAATGGAATGACCAAGAAGTATGTCATTCTAATAGTTGCATAGGTGATTTGGAAACAACAATAGTTCACTGACCAAAAGTGTGCACACTAATAGTTTAGTGGCTGTCAAGGTAGTTTGCCCTACTTGAAATTAATAACTTCATATTCCTAGGTGTAAAGTAGATATTGTACCTTGATACTGCAGGCCTCAGGTTACTTCAATTGGCAATGGTTATTTCGTTCTGACTGAAGATGCACCAAAATTAAGAGAAACTCTTCTATGTAGTTGTTGCAATGTACATTGACTTTAATTCATGGTCTGCCTCCCTTTGATGAAATCTGTACTTTGGGCTTGTCTCTAGAAATTAGATGATGCAGTTGGACCTGGGACTGCAGCTACAGAAATTGCCACTTCTGGAACTCCAAGGACTACTGTTGAAAAAGAAACTGTCCAACCAAAGGCTGCAGAAAAGACGCCACTCTCTCCATATACTGCGTGAGCATGCAAACTGATATTTCATTGTGAATTATAATATTTCTCACCAAAATAAAAACTGTAATTTCCAACTTCCTGAAGCTATGAAGATCTAAAGCCCCCTACTCCTCCTATTCGAACACCAAGCACTACTTCTGTTTCCATCAAGCCAAGTATAGAGGCGACAAACCCATCAGTAGTTAACTCTTCTCCATCTTTAAAAAGGCCATCCCTCATCACCTTTCACAATTCCATATGCCTCGACATCTGCTGTTATTCTACTTCTGATTCTTGTTGAAATTGGATTCCATTTATGTCATGGATGACTTTGGACCTCGGATCTATGTGAAGAAACTGCTGACGAGAATTTTGTGAAGGGGAAACTATTTGTCTGAACTACTACCATTTTGGCAAAAACTCATAGTTGAAGATTACCAAAGAAGGAAACCTGCATATGATCTTTCTTATGGAAATTTGAGGGTCTCCATGACCAAAGAACACCATCCATAATACGGAATTCTTTCACTTTTTCTAATGCTACATGAGGTGTACTAGGGTTAAGATGTTTATATATAATATGTGGTGTCAAACACTTGAGTTTTAGAAAATTGTCCGAAGTGTCTATGTGACAGGCTGACAGCACAAAATAAGCAAAATCTCCCTTTATTTATAATATCCTAGCATTGTGGATATGAACTGCTATTCGTGCTGAGCGCATATGAACTGCTTTGTCACTATTCTTCTTCTTGTAGTTTTGATGGTCTCAAACCACCTGCACGTCCAAGTCCATCTAGTATTTACACCAAAGTTTACCATGGTATGGGAGTAGTTTAAGCCTTCAGGGTATGCTATAACACCTAAACAATAAGAACAAGCAATTTTATTGCCTAGTTTAGCTTGATAGCAGTTGACTTGTAAAAAGCTGTGCCTTTTTCCCTATGCAACATGTTTTTTATGTATGTTGATTTCCTTGTCTTCTGTCAGTTTTGCTGATACGAGTCTATTTGCTAAATAACCGATTTTATTTATTTATTTTTATTTTTTTACAGATATGAAGATTTGAAGCCACCCAGTTCTCCTAGTCCATCTCCAAGTGGTCCAAAAGAGGTACATGCCTCAAATGATATCCTGTCAGAACTTACCGGTGGCAATGATGTTGGCACAATCAACATTGGTGAGGAGAATTATCCCCAGAAAGTGGCTTCTCGTCACTCGCCCTATCTTGTGTGAGTTGATAATACCCCATTTCCCTGCATGGAAGAATTGTAGTGCTGTATCTACCTCTATTAAAAATCAAAATCTTCATCATCATGCAGACTGGGACCCCTGGTCAAGTTTTGATTATTACTGCTGTTTGACCTGTTCTCTCTTAATTTGCTGCATTACGTGAGGCTACATAATTGTTACATTGAGCTCCATTGCCTCCTGTCTAAAAATCCAAGTCTGTTTATCTTATTGTTGCTTCAGATACCCTGATTTGAAGCCCCCATCTTCACCATCTCCTAATGCACCTGTGTCATCTACAAGCAACGAAATGCTGCCGTCGATTGCAGATAAACTGGGAAATTGACATAAGCCTGCCAGAATTAAAGCAATCCCGCTCTGACCTTTCACCAGGCAAATCCGTTGTAGACTGCAAATGAGATCTATAAACTCTAATGACCCCATTTATGGCACTGAAGCTACATTGCGTCAGAGTCGAGTAATAGAGAAAAAAATTATTGTCAAATTGTATATGCTGCTGGGCTGAGAAGATCATTAAACTGATAATTTTTCCCTCATCTATTGTTTCGGATATGCAGGTGCGATGACTTGAGGCCTCCAAGTTCTCCCATGCCATCTTCAAATAATTTTTGAAACACAAACCATGGAGTTAACCATCTTGAGATTATATATGCTTTCTATGCTTCAGAATTCAGTCTCCCTTACCTGTGCCCCGAGGGGGGGAGGGGGGGTATGGGTGTTGTTGGACGCGGGCTAGATAGTTTTGGCTGAGTGAGCCGCCAGTATGCCATCGTGATAGGGCTATTAAAGCAAAGATTAAGAGGAGGGGCTGGAACGGTTGTCTACCGTTCCGGAAAGTTCACGGTCATGAATAGATTAAAAAAATTTGTGCGGTTCAGATCATTTATTATAATTCGATTTTCATGTCGTATGGGATCCACAAAAATGTTGTTCTAGTGTTACACCTTTTATAAATAATGTTACATCGTGTGCAAATAATGTTACACCTTCCGAAACGGTTGCTCTGACAATCATTCCAGCCTCAGAGATCCCAAAGACTATGTGCTGTCAGCTCATGAGAAACCAGCAATTTGCAAAGCTGAATTTTTGAATCACAAAATTGTACCTACACGCAAATAAACTTCCTTGTACTTGGAACTTATCAACAAATAGTGTACAACGCAAGTGATGAACTCTATCGGTATCAAAATTATGTAGAAACTAACAAAAACTCAGAAGGCACTCTTTTCATATATGCTTATACTATCAATAATTCGATAAAATTACTAGTTGTATTAATCTCACATCTCATACACAAAGAGTATAATTTAAAAAACAGTAACATCTAAATTTCATAATAAATAAACTCGTATTTTTAGTTTTTTTTTTATTTTCAAATATGTTCTAATGACATATGGCGTGCACACAACCTTTCCAAATTCATATTTTTTAGCAGAAATTTTGATAGTATTTTTGAAAAAAAAATTCGTTTAAGATGCGAATGTATTATTTTATTTAGTGCTATTATAGCAAATGTGACGAAGATGGACAAAGTGTGATCATCCCTAATTGAAGGGGGCAAAGAGCGATTAGCCTTTTTTTCCCCTAGGTAATTACTAGGAATAAACACAGTCTGTACAGCCTTGGATGATCTGTCTTTTGTTATTGTTTTTTGTCGTTGTTTATTGATTGGAAAATATTTTTATTATTTACACTTCATCTTTTATTATTTACGCTCCACCATTTATTTTATGATATGATCAATGATCTATTTTTTGTTGTTGTTTATTGATTGAGAAATGTTGTTTGCACTCCATCCTTTATTATTTATACTTCCACCATTTGTTTTATGATATGATATAATAAATAAAAATTATATAATTAAAATGATAGTAATAATAATGTGATTAACAAAAATAGATGTGGAAATAACATTTTCCTATTAATTTTCTTTCTTTTTTTAATTAGCACTACTGGAGAAGCCCTCGTCCGGGGTAATTTGGTCCTCTTCACACTTTTCTTCTCCAAACGGGTTTTGGGTTTTTCTGTCCATTCTCCAATCTGCTAAAACCACGAAAATGGAAAATCTGAGCGGAAACCCGGTTGAATCCCATAAAAGTGACGTACTTCCTGCTTCCGCTTCCGCATATCTTGACCCTCACTACTGGTAAGGAGAGCTTTTCAACCAACACCACAAAGCTAGACCGTGAAATTTCCATTTGTGCTATGTTTCCTCACTGAAAAACGTCCTCCCTATTTATTTTTTTTTTAATTTTCTTTGGAAATTTAATATTTCAGGGACGATAGATTCTCTCATGAGGAACATTACGAATGGTTCAAAGATTACTCTCACTTTCGTCATCTCATCCTTGACCACATTAATCCAGCTTCTTCTGTAACCTCACTCTACTTGTACAAGTGTTTTTATCCCCCTAAAAATTGTTTGCAAATTACAATTGGGGTTTCTGAGCCAAGTATGCTGTACAGGTATTGGAGCTGGGGTGTGGAAACTCTCAGCTGTGTGAAGGGTTGTATGGAGATGGGATTACTGAGCTCACCTGCATTGATTTGTCACCTGTGGCTGTGGAGAAGATGAAGCAGAGATTAATATCCAAGGGCTACAAGGGTTTGTTGTGCTATTTTAACTTACTTGCATGAACCCTTTTCAAGTTCTTTTCAAGCTTATTATTTTGGTTGATTCTGCAAGGTAGTATGTTTCTTTTTGTCATTGTATAGGATATAGGTTAAAATCAATTGGGACAGTCGCCAATGGAAAGTTGGAATTTAAGAATAAAGATTAGGAGTTGGACTTTTGGGCCAAATTAGTTTATCTTTCTCGCTTCTTTCAAAGTAGAAAATTTTAGTGATAGACTTACTTTTAGTGGTGACTCTCACAATGATGTGCTAGATATTAAGTATGAGACGTGCCGAATGCCGTGGAAATTGCCTCTTCTCATGCAAGTAAACCTATCTATGCTCAATTTTCAGCCCTCCTCATGCTTGTGGACTAGGCGGGGAATAGTAACAACATATGTTTAGTTATGTTATTTGTTTAGCGATTTGCATCTGGTGGTGAATATTTATATTCCTAGATGGTTCATAGCATTAGGTGATTAATTATTTATATTGTTCTTTTTGTCATTTATCGTCAGATATTCAGGTGTTGGAAGCTGACATGCTGGATCTTCCATTTGCCAATGGGTGTTTTGATGTTGTTATAGAGAAGGGAACCATGGTAAGTTTAAAATTTGCAAAAGTTCTGATTTTTAAGCATTCTGGACGCTTTTCCTTCTTGTGTGGTTTGTGATATATCCCTGACTGTTCGCAGTAACAACGTATCCATGAAATTTTCAATTTGAAGGATGTATTGTTCGTGGACAGTGGTGACCCATGGAACCCACGGGTTGAAACAGTTGACAGGGTTATGTCAATGCTTCGTCAAATTCATAGGGTTTTGAAAACTCATGGCACTTTCATTTCAATCACCTTTGGCCAGGTAGCAGGAACATGACTTCCTTCTCTCTCTTGCTCTGGCTTAGATAATAAACTTTTTGCTGATAGCAACCTCTCAAGCTCTCTCTTTCTTGGGAGGATTGTGGGAAATGAAAATCTGATCGGTTGCTCTTGAATCTTACAGCCACATTTTCGTCGTCCTTTCTTTAGTAATTCAGAATTTACTTGGTCTACGGAGTGGAGAACATTTGGTGATGGATTTCACTATTTCTTCTACATCTTGAAAAAGGTCAGTCCTGCAAATTGCAATCTTGTAATTTGTTTGAGCCCTTTGTAAGCATGCCATTGAGAATACTCGTTTTCTAGAAAACATATTTGTGGCTTTTGTGTTGTTCCAAGTGTGTTTGCATTCAACTGACTGACATGCTTCTATCTCTGCTAATACTTGAATACTTGCGATAAAATTGGAGGTACATAAGCCTTCTTGATTACAATTAGGCATCAAAATAGAGGGGTTGCGCCCCCTCCCCCCCACCCAAAAAAAATGCACATAAGAGTGTGAAGTCTCTCCTGGAAACGTGAGTGATCAAATAGTGAATTGCAGGGGCACAGGATGTCAGAGAGTGCTGAATGTACTGAGAGGATCGACATGCCATCTATATCTCCTTACCACGATGAATTAGATTCTGAAGACTACATTTTCCGGACTAACATTGATGATGCCTAAAGTCTGGGGTGAGTTGAAGCGTTTCTTATGCTTTCATTTTCCGGACTAACATTGATGATGCCTAAAGTTTGGGGTGAGTTGAAGCGTTTCTGATGCTTCTTAAGTTGTTCTGACAACCTTCTTTGCTTCTGCATATAATTGGAGAACAAAGAGAAGAATGTGACAAGCTTTTGGTGATGATAGCAACAGAATTCAACACTAATTTGTGCAAGAAGTGCCTTTGTATCATGTCGGCAGTGTTTTAGGCTACCTCTTTATTGTAGTTCCCCCTCGTCTCACAAAATTTTAGCAGCCAAAGGGAAGACGCACAGGTAATTTGGCCGTGCAGGGTGTTGCTTGTTTCCAATGTCTCTAAGCATACATGATTAGTGACTCAGTCAATTAGGTATAAACCACGAGAACGGCCATGCCTTTTACTCAAAGCTGTTGGATGGAATCATTCTTATTGCGTAAGCTATCATCCTGTTTTCCCACTTTTTGATGGCCAAAGCTATCATGATCTTTTAGAGACTTTTTCTTTAAGCTCCCTTTTTCCTCCCCCTTTTTTAGCTTTCTTTATAAGTGGCAAGCATAGCCTAGGGAGATAATGTAGTGGCTTCTAATTCTGCTTCTTGAATGAGTATTGTCCAATTACGTCCTAGATAGGTGTTGGTGGTATGGAAAATCTTAGAGCATGTATCCGAGCGGGCAGGAATCCTTAAAAAGGCCCAATTTCACGAATTTGTGTAATGGCTTCTTGGTAAACATGATTGTTGGAGCCTCCGGCTTTTCTTTAAAAAAAATGTACCGGATTTAGGGACTTGTTTGGGGATCAGCACTGGTATTGTGGGGTGTCCTACATTTAATAGACCATTGCTACCTCTGTTTGGTGAACTTTAAGTCATTTAGCTGATGTAGCAAACTTGATATGTAATGAAAAAGCAACTAGTTACGCCTTTAAGAGCAAAGCAAAAGCTAAATGGGGCTTGCACATCTAGCTTTTATTGGAGTAGAAAAGACCGAAGGTCATCTACAACGAAAATGGACAAAATTAAGGAAATGCAACCAAAAGTCACCTACAAGAAGAAAAGCAAGAAATTGACAGATCTACAACGAAAATAGAATGAAGGAAAGGCAACCAAAGGTTATCTACAACAAGAAAAGACAGGAAATTGATAGAACTGCAGCGAAAATGGACAAAATTAAGGAAAAGCTATCTACAATGAAAATGGACAAATTAAGGAAAAACGGCAACCAAAGGTCATCTACAACAATAGACGTCAGAAAATTGATAGATCTACAACGAAAATGGACAAAATTACGGAAAAAAGCTAAAGGAAAAATGATCTACAATGCAAATAGACAAAATTGAAGGAAAACAGCAACCAAAAATTATCTACAATGAAAAAACAAGAAATTGACGCTAGAGGAAGGGGTTGAACCTTCGACCTTGTGGTTAACAGCCACACGCTCTAACCGACTGAGCTACTCCAGCGCTCTGTGCGAACGATTTTTGCCTTTATATTATTGTTTTGCACAATCCAACACTTCATTTTTCTCTCGAAGGAACGTCCAGTAAAATTAGATGCATCAAAGAGTTGTTGAACTGTATTCAGACAATTATGTACCAGTGCTTATGGGCACAGCCGCACAGTCAACGCGTGTACAATTAATAAAAAATATTAAAATTATAAAATTATTTTTGTTAGGAAGTTGTAGTTTAAAAGGATTTGACCATGCCAAATAAGCGTTTTATAATATTTTAGAAGGGTGATAGATTACTTTGGAGAAATAGTAGTTATGTCAACGGTTATAAAGATGTTACTGGGAAGTAAACAGTTAAAATGATGAAGTTGTCTTTAGTAATAAAGTTATATTTAGCAATATATTAAGTGACACATTTTGTTTTCATCAAGGTCTCGCTCTAATTTTACACCAATCTCAAGATTCTCATTTTATATATAAGGCCTGTTTGGTAAGTGAATTTTATGAGTAATTGTAGAAAAACTTTATAAAGTGTATAAAACTTTTTTTTTTCTTTTTCCTTTCCTTCTTCTTCTTCTTCTTTCTTTCTTTTTCCTTTTCATTTCTCTATTCTTCTTCTTCCCCACCCAGCCACTAATCTTTCTTCTCACTCTCTCCCTACTATTGGCCGCTAGCGCAGGCACCTTCGCTAGGCTTCGCTAGGGATTAGTGCTGGTAATACTTTGTTTTTTTTTTTTTTTTGCTTTTTTCTCTTTCTCCTCCCTCTCCTCCTTCCTCCACCATTTATCTTCTCCTCCCGTCTCCTCTCTTTTGTCACATTCTCCTCTTCTCTCATCTCCCTCCTTCTCACACGATCTGGTTGTATGACGAGATCGTGTGGGGGGAACAAAGAGAAGGGAGAAGGTGGCGGGAGAGAAGGGAGGAAAGGGTGGATGAGAAGAACGGAAGAAAGGGAGAAGGAGGAAAGAAAGAAAAAAAATTAAAAAGGCAACAATCGACACTGGGCGGTGGTGGATGTGGTAGTGGGTTGAAGTGGGGGGAAGAAGAATAAGAATGGAAAGAAGGGGAATTTTTTGCATTTTTTTTGGGTATTTTGATTTAAAAATTTGAATTTTTTTTTGATGTTGTTATAATTAAAATTGTTAAAAAACTTGTAGAAGAAAATTTTGCCAAAAGATATATAAGTCCGAAGGGGAAATCTCAAGTCTAACAAGAGAGAAGTAAGAAAACAGAAGATTTGAGAGTCAAATAAAAAAAAAATTCACTGAATCTTGGGGATTTTTTAATTATTTTTATGTCTGTATAGCATAAATGAAAGATTTGAATTCAAAACCTCTTATTGAATATTGGCAACTTGATTATATATTTGCTGCGCAAATTTCTGCTTTACTTTCATGTTCAATGCAATTATTAGGGCATATTCTCAGTTGATTATAGAAACTTAATTTTAGTTTTAAATATTCAAAAAGATTTTTTGTTTGTGTTCTTAATTGACTTTCATAATCCGATTCTAGTTTTTGTTGGGTCCAAAAAGATGAAAATTAGAAGTATGTCTTGAACTACTTTTAGATTATGATTCTGGCCTTTTTTTCATATAGACAAAATTATCTTTCAAAGTTTAATATAATTAGTAAACTACTTAAAGGCTAGGCAAATTTTTTTGCCGTGTATCTCTATCCATTTCTTTCTATTTCTCATCCTATTTTCCAATTCATCAAGGCCTTCCTTCTTGATTTCTCTTATCCAACACTTAAATTTTCACAAGAGAAATAACTAATTACATGGAAAAAAATTTTAGCTAGAAAAAGCCACTTATATAGCACATAAGGGCAATTTGGTCATTTTATTTTCAAAAATCAGCTTTTTAACTTTTTTTGAGAACACCCATGCATTTAATAAAATTGCTTTTCTAATTAAACGAGAACATGTGAGTTACTTTAAAAATCCAATTTTTAAGAATTAATTATATAAAATGAGCTTATATAAAATCAAAATCAATTGAGAACAAGCCCTTATTGTATAATTAAACAATGCACGCCCATACATCGAAAATAAGGAAAAAGAAAAAATCACACTGATACACGACAAAAGTTGTAAATGGAGGTGAATACTAATTGAGCACTTTCAAACTTTTGGAATTAAGGATGATACAACTTAATTTGGCAAATGCTTTTAGATAGGGTGTAGATAATTCTTTGGTCAATTACATGTAGCATCAAGAAGCTTTCATAGAGTTTTCTCAACTTCCTTCATGTTATTTTGGAGCCCCCCCCCCCCCCCCCCCCCCCCCCCAAAAAAAAAAAATCCTTCATGTTATTGTTCATAATTTTATTACAAATTGCTTCCTACAGCAAAGCGGGTTGGCCCGTTGAAAGTTTGACTTGACCCATTACAAGTCCTTTTCATTTCTTTAAATATTTCTTTTAATTATCATAAAATTTGAGCATTTTTTTTTTCTTTTTTTTTTTTACCTCCTCCTTTCGTTTTAACTTTTAATTCTTGGAAGGCAGTTGGCATCCTTCCACCACACTCTTACCTTAACGACGTCGTTAAGCTTAGATTTTACCGTTTGTTTTTTGGCAATTAACCTGCATGAGCTGCCTCCCCATCGTCAGGTCACCGCAAAAAGGCAATGAGAGAAAACTCCCCCTTCTTCACTTTAGAAAACTACGCAGCATATTTCCTCTCTCCTCCCGCCGGCAGCCGCGACTGCCTTACCGGAAATCCACCTCGATCTCGCCGTTAACAGCGATTAGTTCTCTCTACTAGCCGATCGCACTGGTTAAATTTGTCTAGCTCGATCAACCTATTCATTCTCTCTCCTGCTATAAATAATTTGATACCTACATATATACACAAGTGATTGATGGAGGATTGGATGAGTTGTGAAGAAGATTACGACAGTTCTGATCGAGAATCGCCGGACGGATTCGAGAACGAAGATTCTGACTCCCACTGGATGCCGTTTAAAGGCCCTTCCAGCAAGGTATGGTTGCAAACAAAATTATTTGTTTTTTTGTAATTCCACTGAAAATTGAGTATTCTTCTGCATATTCATTGTTCCTTTTTATTTTTGTGATTTTATCGTAGTTTTGGATGACAATGAAGGAGAGGATTTTGCTGGTGAATTGAAAATTGTACCCTTCGTATTTTGTGCATCTTCTGTTCCTTCTTATTTAAGTTTTATATACTTCGGGAGTACTTCCAGACCAAGACTTACTAATGGAGTTTATTTTCATTGGCAACTTAATTACCGTTTCGTTTTCTGCTTATTTGTTAATTAATAGCATTCTGAGATTTAAAAAAAAAAACTTTCATTGTTTAAATTGTTTTTCTGGTTGAACTAATGGTGACTTGCACATTGTATACCACAATTTGGTTTGCATTTAATGAATCAGATTGCTGCATTTAAATGTATTACCACAATTGTTAGTTTGGAATACAATGTTGTCAACCTGACCTTCCTCGCTGGTTTTGCAGGTAATCACGAAAGAGTCTCTCTTGGCTGCACAGGTGAGGAGAATATGAACTGATTCTTGTCTTATTTCTTGCAATGGTCGTCTTGCCTTGTGTCAGTATGCAGTCTTGTTCCGGAATTTTGTCCTGTCAAACTGAGAGATTTAATGTTTGTACAGAAGGAAGATCTGCGAAGAGTAATGGAAGTGCTATCTCTACAAGAACATCATGCACGAACCCTGCTTATCCATTACCGATGGGATGTTGAGAAGGTCTTAGCAATCCTTGTGGAAAAAGGGAGAGCTTTGTTGTTTGCTGAAGCAGGTGTAACTGTGGGTGAAAATAAAGATTCTGATATGCCTGGATCTTCATCTACAGTATTGTGCAATATATGCATTGAAGAATTTCCTGGAAATGAGGTGACTAGCATGGATTGTGGCCATTGTTTTTGCAACAACTGTAAGCAATCTTTCTTTAAACGGTGCCAAAAACTTGATGGGATCTTTTGAAAATTCAGACATTTTTATGTATTCTTTAAAAAAAAAAAAGGTGACTCTACAATTTATTATCATCTTTTTATAGTCTAACATAGCCAAAAATGCCCTAGCCTAAGTCTAAGTATAGCCATTGATTGAAAGATACTTCTATGAAATAGGAAACAATTGAATTCTTATTCCATGGATGCATTACGAATTTCCATTGTGGAAAGTTATGGGCTAAATATCTTTGCCATTCTTTAAGTCAATTAGTTAATTCTTTCTTTTTCTTCATCCCATGATAATCTGTTGGTGCTTGCCACTTAGATTCCCCCTCCCCTTAGAATAGGATAGAGTAGGTTATAGAAATGTTATCGTTGCAAAAAAAAATGATAACCTGTTGGTTTTATTTCTGTTCATCATAATTTAATCTGTCCCCTTTGAGCAAAATAACTTGTTAATTTAATGGCGCTCTTTGCAATGCTCCCACAAATAGTTTTTGATCTTGCTTTCGTTAGTTGGTTTTCATACTTTTTTTTCACATGCTAAAGCATA